TTTCAGATCAAAGCTGAGACGTTTCATGTTGTCTTTCAATTTGTCTCGGTAGCGTATATATATATATATATATATATATATATATATATATATATATATATATATATATATAAATTTGGAGTTCTTCCGGCAGTGTAACATTTTCCCGTTTTCAGTGGTTAAAGAATTTACAAACTGTCCATAGTTGTAATTATTCCGAGCGATTTTGTCTAGTTCTATACCAATTATCAAGGATTTCGCTTTGGGGATGGTAAATTTCTGTATGCTTGTTTGTACATATTAATTCACCTGTCTTAATTACATCCGTGACTGCGGGTGTATGCTAGTTTTGGCGGTCACATGATATGCACGCCTATTTGACCTGGGCATCAATTCAATTTTCGAAAACTTTTAACACACCATCTCCATTGCTAAATAGTGTAAGATTGATATCGGCTAAATTGTTTTTAATCAGCAATGCTTCATGAAATCTCCATTTTTTTTATCATAATGGCAACACCTACAGTATGAGGAATCTTTTAGGCCATACTTTCTGTAACTTTTACATATCTTATATTGAAAACAAAGCATTTAAAATAACTGATAAACTAGAAATCTACATAATGTAAGTTGATGACACGTTTGTTTTGATAAAAAATTAGGAAGAAATTAGAAATCTAAAATCACCTTTCGTAACAAAATCGCTTTCTTTGATGCTAATATAGAACTAAAATCCAAAGAATTCGCTGTATGAAAAATCCACCAGTATGAACTCTTGTCTTCTAATCTATGATTGCGAATTCCCGGAAAGATATAAAATAGCAATGAAAACAAACTACTTAAATAGAGTAAACCAAAATTCATCTTCTCAAAGAATATTTCTCAGCGAACTAAAACTCAGAAATAAAACATTAGTCAAACATAATTTGCCCAAATACATCATTGATAGACAAATAAAATTATTCTTACAAAAACTATACAACACCAGTAATAAAAATACCACAGCAAAATATTTTAATGTAACCAGATGAACAATAATTATAAACAGGCGAATTCATTATACAAATAATTATTATACACAATATGGCTGCTGTAATTCCCGAAAAAACGTGTCAATTATATAATATATAATATATTACAGGAAATAGAATACAAGAAACCTTGTAGTCACTAATCAAAATAACCTCATTACATTTAAACTTGCGATGACCAATAGAGTGTATCAAACGTAATTCCCGGTACTAGATTGTGTTTATTGTTACAAATCAAATGCCTATGTCGGACACATTACCACCATCTTGAATAGACGCCATAGGTGTGTCACTGATTTGACCATACTGCTATAAGAAAATATTTATTAATGTATAATCTGCAGGAACGCTTAAGGAAAATTCTGGTTTTAAGCATAAGAATTCTATATAAATCACATTATCAGAAACTATTCGAGAGGCACAATATATCATAGCATTCTCTCCTATGATCAATCTTACATTATTCAATACTGGAAACGGCGTCTTGAAAGTTTTGCTTTTTAAAAAAATAGAAACATGTTCACGCAAATTCCAGTCGAGCACGGCACTAAGAGCTTGGAATGAATTCTACTTTTTCAACAAACATGTCAAACATAATTTACAACATAACAGTCAAAGAATGAAGAAGAAGAATATCACCAGATAATAAAACACCTTTGAAAATGGCAATAGAAAAATGACTGAAAGCGTATCGAACAATGAAAATTAAGAACAATTTTTATATCCCTTCCCTGCTAAAAAGAGAGGAAAAAATTAGGATGTTGGAAATTGTTTTTTAGGTTTTTTTTTAGATAGCTTTCTTCCTGACATTTTGATAGGCAATATGGAAATACTGAAATTCAGATTCTTTTCTACTATTTTAAAAAAAAGCTTATAAAAAGATTTTTAATTAATATCCGATAAAAAAAAATACTTTTGACAAAATACCTTAATGATTTCACCATAATTATGTAACAATAATATAATAAAATTCCACAGACAAATCTAAGGTTTATGCTATCTCATCTCACTGCATGGTTACGGACTATAAACCTAAATTGAGCTTGAAATATTGTGTAATCGGCTGTAATTTCTTTTTTAAAAAATATTTGAATATGATAAAAATGAATAATTTGCAGAGAAAAAAGGAATTTTCATTTTTTTTTTTGAATACGACCCTCCGCTTCCGAACACGTTAAATATCGTCTTCTCATATATATATATATATATATATATATATATATATATATATGTATATGTGTGTGTGTGTGTGTGTGTGTGTGTGTGTCTTTTTACAGTGATGACGAACCTATTAGATTCTTATTATACAACCCTGCTCGTTTTATGTTGTCTTGAAAAGGATTCGCACCAAACGTCCCTGTCGAAAAAGATAGAAATTAATTGGATGACTAACAATATCTATTTTGTAATATCATTGTTTGCATTCATTCCCTTCGGAATTTTCATAATACATTATTTAAACCGATTTGGCACCACGTAAAACATTTACTGTCTGAGAATGCTACAAATTGCGATAATAGATAATGTTACACGTATCTGTTCGATATTTTGAAATTTGGTTCCATACATCCTGGTTTCGTTGCAGAATTTTGCTAAGATATTAGTTTGCTAAACTTGTCTCATAGTCATAGAATCTACAAAAGATTCAATTATCCTTGGTCATATATTTAGTTAACACAAAACGATTTGCATTCAGAATAAAGTCTTTGTATTGAAAATGTGTTGCGGGACGTGTCTGTGCATGATGTTTGTTTGCAAACGTCATTGTAAAAACGACAATGGTAGATGCAAAAATAAAAAAAAGAAGAAAAAAGCTCCATGGTGAACTTCAGAAAGAATATCAACTAGATAGATTCAAAACGAGATGGCCGTCTAAAAAAAAGTCTAAAATTCCCACAAAAAAGTAGTAAAAGAAATGAAAAACTATTTATTATCTAATATGTCAGTTCTATAAAAACGATTTCTAAAATCAATGATCAAAATTGATTTACATCGAATGGAGCTCTTAGGTCTTCTCGACGACCATCCTTCTTCGGAAGTCGTGGACTGACCCTATCAGAAAAACGGTACCAAATTACAAGAACTATATCAATTGAGGACTTTAAAAACCAGTAAAATCTGACTGGATATCAAATCTAACTTACGGAAAAAACTATTATATAACCAATATGAATATATTCCACATTATTTCAACGAAAATGTTATGGAAGAAGCACCATTAATCCTAAAAAAAGTGATAACAGTTACTGAACTTGAGAAAGTAATTGTCCTGAGATATTGTTTTAATAGAAAGATTTTGTAAATATTAAACGATAGTAGCACTGACTACTCGGTCAATCAATAAGAAGGAAAGAGCTTATAATGTCATGACACTTAGCATTAATGAAGACGTTATTTTAAATGTATACTGAGGTAGTACTGGAGGGTCAACAGACTAGCTGTTTTTTTTGCAGAAACAGAAAACTAAGCAGAAAACTCAATATGACATGTTGAAAATTATTTTTGTCAGTTTTCTATGGAAATTAACGCACTAAAAATGCCTCTTTTCTTTTTTTATCCGAAAACTTTTCCCTTATGTTTTGGTTAATATTTTGATGTAGATCATGATTTGCAAATTTTCCATTTCAGTAAAATGATTGCATTTAATAGTTATAGGTTTTAATTATATTTTTAAATATACGAATAATAAAACAGTGTCGTTTTAATGTAACGAAACAAGGATGAGTAAAAATATAGTAGAATATTTTCCGACTACATTCTAGATGATGTTCACTTCTGAGTTTTCTATTATCTTTTCTATGTCTCACCCTGCTTTTTAATTTAGAGGCGAATAAAACTTTCTACGTCGCTAGCTGATTATAATTTTGCATCGATAATAATTAAACGAGGGAAACATTCACAAATAGAAAATAAAGATTAAAAAAATAAAATTGTTTTTTTTTATTATTCTGTTTTTTATAAAATTTATCAACATTTTGCAGGCTATTTAAAGCTAGAAAATATTTTCCTATTATAAAATTTTGAATAGAAGATTTACTGATAGACGTTCTACAAATTAACCCATAGTCCGTGGGGAGAAGATGTGGATTCGTATCTTTTACAAGACTCTTTTACCGTAAGTGAATGTAACGATTCGTCCGTAATTCAAATTCGATTATCCGATTTCTAATTTTGAGCCGTTAGCCTTGATAACATCCACACATCCAAGCTTACAGCACCTGCTATTCCCAATCGGCCACTCATCTAGATACTGGCCAGTTCAAATGTTGCTTAACTTCGATGATCGTACAAGAACCGGTGTTTCGATATTTTATGGTTGTAAGCTCTGAGAAGTTGATGAGGTAGGGTATACAAAATTGTTGCATATTAATGAAAATACGGTTAACAAAAGAAGCCGAACAATGCCTTGTTCCAGAAAAATTGGATTTGAAGTTACTCTGTAATTTACACAGGTACTACTACCTGGTGGCTGGTCAGTACCTCTGCGATTAAACTGGGTTTTCATGTGAGCAAATTAAAAACAAGACCTTCGATGTTAATTTTTGCAGAGTTAACGCCCATCTAAATCAGTGATTGGTGGGAACTGGATTCTCAAATTATGTACGCGATCTGATCAAAAAGGGGCTGTTGTATATTAACGAAAATAAAGTACATATGTTGAAGCTGCTTGGCGCAAACTGAATTTGAACGTTGTCACGCATACACACTAAGTGAAAACGTTCTTGTTCACTTCAGTTGTTTATCGTAGTGTCTGAAAGGAAAGTGTGCAGTGTGTGGTCGTCGCACCACACTACAGAGTTTCCATCAGTATATATATATATATATATATATATATACAAAAATTTATTACATCGTTTGCCTTGTAGTTAAAACAGTTGTGTCTAATCCACCATTGTCATGCAATGGTTTTGTAATCTTTGTTAAAAAATATCCAGTGTTTTTCCTATACGTTCCACATATGAACACTTGTAGCAATGCCATCTTTCTCACTTCATATATCGGTCTGTGTGTGCGTGTTTGCCATATGACATGCTGATCGAGAGAAAAGGCGTCTTAAAGAGAAACACAGGAAGAAGACGAGGAAATATGGCTAAAACGAAAAGAGAAAGGAAATAATCGTAGATATATTGCTGTAAGAGACCATAAGGAAAACGAGATTAATATATAATGGAGTCGAAACACAAAAGAAAAACAACAAATTTATAGACAAGAAAATCAAAAGAAAAAACGTACACACAAGACAATGAGGACTAAATGATGAATTGCAATGCGAATGCTATTCTGACGCCACAGGCAACGCCTAACACAAATACATTCTTTTCTCTTTACTGTCTTTGTTTCGATCTACAAACCGGAAACGGAATTTATAAAGACGCATGCGCAATCTGCAATCCACCATGAAAAGCCACAGATTTTACGTCGTTGAAAACATCGAAGTAACTACATTGCCGCCCTCCTTGTCATTTGAACATATAGAGAAAAATATTATTTTCGCCATATTTGCACGCTTTTAACCTGTATGGCTTCAATGTCTTCTCTTTTATTTGTTTGTTGTGCAGGTATTTTTAATGGTGTAACTGTTGTCGCAGTTGTTGTCATTATCGTCGTTTTCACATTGCTTTTGTAACTATTTTTTATTTGTTTACTTGACTTGAACTGAGGTATTGTAGTAGTTGATAAAAGAGATTCTAATCATTTTTTCCGTGTATTTCAACAACAGAATGATGGCTTTCGTTGAATAGATGGGTGTGTTTGTTTTATTTTATTTATATTTTCAGTTTTAAAATGCATTTGTAAACGCATTCCGTATTCCGTCTAAGCTTTCTTTTGTTGCTTGTGGTGATATTGTTATTAGTATTATTATTTCATACTAGTTGACTTATCAAAATTACATCAGATGGTAGCGATATGTATAATAGCAGGGGGCGTGTAGTAATTGGAATCTTAGATCAAAAGGGATGAAAGAGATTTTAACAAAGTGTACGTTTGAAGCAGAATCCAAGAGGGAGGAAATAAGCGAAAACTATAATAAGACATAAAGAGAAGTCAAAAGGCGGTGGAAGGAATGAGAATAAAAATGAATTCATCGACAAAAAGACAAGATGGGTACTATAAAGGAAGAAAGAAAGAATAAAAGAAACAGAGAAAGAAAGGGAGAAGATAGGAAGGAACGAAAGTGGATAAATAAATAAAGATGAAAATAGATAAAAAGAAAGAAACGAAAGGAAGAAAGAAAGAACAAAAGGAAGGGAGGAAGGAAGAAAGAAAGAAAGAAAGAACGAAAGGAAGGGAGGAAGGAAGAAAGAAAGAAAAAGCGAACGAAATGAGGGGAGGAAGGAAGAAAGAAAGAAAGTAATAGCGAATTAGAAAGCGAAAGAATGTAGGATAAAGGAAACAGAACTAATGGAAAAGAGACAGAAAAAGAAAAATAATAAAGTAAAACTGATAGGAAAAATGATAATAAGTAAAAGAGAACGACTGGCAGAAAAGAGAAAAAAAAAGAAATAAAAGCGAAAGAAAAAAAAATAACGGTAATTAAATTAAGTGAACGAAAGATGGAGAAAGTTAAACAAATAATAAAATTCCAAGAGAGAAAAGAATAGAAAAGGATAAGAAAAGAAAAAAAAAGTAGTTCCATAGAAAATAAAAGATAATGATGAAAAAAGAAAAAAATGAAAGAGAGAGAAAAAAATGAAAGCCACAAAAAAGAAAAAAAAAAGTAGTTCCATAGAAAATAAAAGACAATGATGAAAAAAGAAAAAATGAAAAAGAGAGAAAAAATGAAGCCACAAAAAAGAAAAAAAAAAGTAGTAAAGGTGAAAGATAAAGAAAGATGTAAAGGATGAGAAACAAAAGATATGAAGTATAACGAAAGAGAAAACAAAAGTAAGAAAAACCAGTGTTTATAAAAGCAATAATCAACAGAATGCCTGTACAAAAGCGGTTTTGAAACAGTCAGTAAATAGAGGAGAAATTATGCTTAAAAAGCCGTCAGGAATATATATATATATATATATATATATATATATATATATATATATATATATATATGTATATGTGTGTGTGTGTGTGTGTATATATATATATATATATATATATATATATATATATATATATAGAGAGAGAGAGAGAGAGAGAGAGAGAGAGAGAGAGAAAGATAGACAGACACAGAGAGAGAGAGAGAGAATCATAGACAGAAATTGAAAGTGTGTGTTTGTGAGAGAAACATGGAGAAAGCTAAAGGCTTATTGGACGGCAAGTTTTTTTTTTTCATTTTGCCGACTTCGTTAATGAAGACAGAGGAATCCTCATCGGTTTCTTTTAATTCTGGCATTGTGCCATAGAAAACTACATTTACTAATTAAATATATAAAAGGTTCCAAGCCGTGTAGAACTATAGCTAGATATAGAATCCAGACTATAATTATTCTCACAGTGTCTCTTCCATAGATTTTAACTTATCTTTTACCAGATAAGGCTAAGCCAACTGTCTTTCTGATTAGAATTATAAATGTCTTTTTGCTGTTTCCATCTGCTCTAAAACTTCATTGTTGTTCCCGTCCATGCTATCTTCAACATCTTTCTCAAGAACCATATTTCTGTTGCCTCGTCTGAATCTAGATATTGTATTTTTTACCAATTCGCATTCCTTGTTGTACATCGGAATTCAAAGTTAAGAATATGCTGTCCAAGGTGATAATTGTACGGTTTTTATTCAAGTAATTTCTATCGTCTATGTCATTATAAAGAGCATGATGTTTTTTAATGTAGTAGAAGAAAATTGTTGACAAAATCCTAACGTTTGGGATTGGGGCGATGGAATTCGTACCAGCGAAAATTTTACCATCATCATCATCATCATCATCATCATCATCATCATCATCATCATCACTGTTGGGTCCTGCATTGCCCTACCCATCACCACGTATCCAACAACAACATCCAACAGGGTCCTGTCTGGGATCTCCCGTATCCAACCCATCAAATTTCGAGAAGACACCTCCAGAATCCATCATCCTTTGACCTTCTTGATTGGTCGGAACTACATTGAAAATCCTTCTCCACACTGTTAGGTCCTGCATTGCCCTTCCCAGATCTCCAGTATCCAACCCTATGTCACGAGCCAAGGTGTCTGGGCAAGTCAAATTTCGCGAGAAGACACCTCCAGAATCCATCATCCTTTGACCTTCTTGTGATTGGTCGGAACTCCATTGAAAATCCCTCTCCACATTGTTAGGTCCTGCATTGTCCTACCCAGATCTCCAGTATCCAACCCCATGTCACGAGCCAAGGTGTCTGGGCAAGTCAAATTTCGCGAGAAGACACCTCCAGAATCCATCATCCTTTGACCTTCTTGTGATTGATCGGAACTCCATAGAAAAGCCCTCTCCACACTGTTATGTCCTGCATTTCCCTACCCAGATCTCCAGTATCCAAACCCATGTCACGAGCCAAGGTGTCTGGGAAAGTCAACTTTCGCGAGAAGACACCTCCAGAATCCATCATCCTTTGACCTTCTTGTGATTGGTCGGAACTCCATTGAAAATCCCTCTCCACACTGTTAGGTCCTGCATTGTCCTACCCAGATCTCCAGTATCCAACCCTATGTCACGAGCCAAGGTGTCTGGGAAAGTCAAATTTCGCGAGAAGACACCTCCAGAATCCATCATCCTTTGACCTTCTTGTGATTGGTCGAAACTCCATTGAAAATCACTCTCCACACTGTTAGGTCCTGGTTTGCCCTACCAAAATCTCCAGTATCCAACCCTGTTTTCCAAGCCCTGGTGTCTGGGCAAGTCACGTTTCGCTGGAAGACACCTCCAGAATCCATCATCCTTCGACTTCCTTGTCATAGGTCCTGCATTGCCCTACCCAGACCTCCAGTATCCAACCTTATGTCTCGAGCCATGGTGTCTGTGTAAGTCAACTTTCGCGAGAAGACACCTCCAGAAGGATGCCATAGATGTAAGGATGTGCCGACCTCCCCGTCCACTTGGTGGCAGTAGCCGGCAAACTGCAGTCGTTTTTGTTTGAGCTTAAGCAAGATCAAGTTCTCCGTAAACTGCATTAAGCGTTGCCTGCGATCTTCTTCATTTTTCGAAATAGATTCGTATATGCTCCACCCAGTCGAATACATAATGTCCAAATATATTCGCATATATTGTTCCATCAAGACGAACCGACAATATCCAAGTTTCTGATCCATTATCAAAATTTTAGTGAATCTATATCTTATCAGAAGAGAATGCATGTAATTGTTATATGTATTATTGTTTTCGAGCTTAATTTGTTTTATCATCATATACCAGATTTCAAACAATTGTCTAGGACAATCGAAGGATGTAATGTTTGTTGTATTCACTTAATTACACAAAAGATAGCTATTAACAAAATAATTGTAAATGGTCGAATATCTTCGAAGGATATGTTCTCTGTTGTAGAGATATTTTTATGATTTCATGAAAAGATAGTGCATTAGGGATTTTTTTTTTAAATGTTCTTAAGTTCCATTCTTTACTAAACCCAAAACCCCAAACTTAATAATTTGAGATTTAAATGTCACTTTTGTTTATTCTATATCCATCCGCATGTCACAGTTTTCCCAAAAAATTAACAGTTATTTTTGTCACTTGCATACGCTCATTTCGAAAAGTGAGCAATTTTCTCTTTTCTGTCTTTGGTAATAATGTCTCGGCGAATTGGTTGTTTTGATCGATCTGAGGAGATAGAAAAAAGAAAAGAATGAATAACAGGTGAAATTCTTGACATGAAGAAAAGGAGAAAAAACATGTCATGTTACGGTACAGAATATAGGACACTGCACAACGTAATTAGGAATAAATGCAAGCAGGCTAAATAGGAGTGACTCAACGAAAAATGTGGGTCATTTTTAAAGGCCAATTAAAAACAAATTAGATTTAAATAGTGGAATGTCATATATATTATATATATATATATATATGTGTGTGTGTGTGTGTATATATGTGTGTGTGTATATATATATATATATATATATATATATATATATATATATATATATATGTGTGTGTAATATGTGAAAAGATTTGTCACTTTTCTGATTGATGTTACTTTCAGTATCCCGACTCGAGGTAGTATCAGCAAAGTGTCTGTGTGTGCGTGTGTTGGTCTGTGTGTGTTTGTGTGTGTACAAAAATTCATATATTAAGTAATATCTGATAACGTTGAAAACGGAAATATTTAAAAAAAGAAAAAAAGCGTGTTAAACCACAGAAAATAGGGCCTGGCATTTAATACAGGAAAAGAAATGAAACATATGGACTGAACCCGTTTTGTTTTTCCCTTAAAAACTCTCTGACTGTACGCAACTTTATTTTCTTATTCTGTTTAGTTACTTTCACATACGAACTAATACCACGGGGAAAGGTGGGAATCCACCTCTCTTCCCCTCAGATATGGGTTAAATACACGGAGTTATAGCAGGAAAGACCGTCGTTATATCCAAATAATTACTGCAATATTCATTGTCAATGAAAACGAATCTTACAATTCTATATATATATCCCAGCTGTAACTAACACACAATGTTCGATAACACACAAATGGTTGATAAAACGTGAAAAAAAGCAAATTATTAATTTACTCAAAATCTGAATATGTTATGTGCGGACGAATAGAATTTATATCACTAAAAACTGTAGAAAGAACAAAATGACAGGTCGTTCGATTTTAGTTTTTTAAAGTCTTATTAACGTCGGAATCACCAAAAAAAAAAAAATGTCGGAAACAATATTTAATGGACATTATGCCATCAAAAATATCTGCTATATATCAGTGACTTCAATGTACATTCCTCGAAAAGCCTAGTAATTTTTGCCGACACTGTTGTACTGATGGACACCAGCGGAATTTTTAACAGATACCTTTCTCTTCACATATATATACAGATCTAATGTCTTAGGCACGCATAAATATAGAAAAAGTCTTTGAGAATCTGTTACTGAAATCTCTTACGAGACTCAATAATAATCTCACAAGTCCTCCACGTAAATATTGACGTTATGTTTCCAGCAATGCCCCTCTTTAAAGATTAAAACCATCAATGTAAATTATTAGGGAAGATTTGAAGAACATATTTTTTAGATTTCCACTATTAACTAATCATATATTTTAGTTATTTTGCCGCAAACAAGATGATAGTGCCACTAAGAATAAATAAGTTACTGGAGTGAAATAAAATGACAAGATTTTAGAAGGAGAAGAAAAACGCCAATATCAAAAGAGTAAACAAGGAATAACCATATACTCCTGTTCCAAAAACCCGGGTTGGAGAGCATGAAATAGACTATAGGTCTTGGAAGAAGACAATGAAATTAGAAAAGATATTTTAGATAAATATTCCGATGGTGAAATATGCATTCCAAAAGCTAAACAAAGTATAAAGAAACAGGAACAAAAATTCGTTACAAGCAAAGAGAAGAATGCTGAACTGTTAGGTAATATCAGTCCTCTTATATTGCAGTGAATGCTGGACCATGTCCGCACAGATGAAGAAGGGACTTGGAGCAAGAGGAATTTACTTCCAGAGAAGGATGCTGAGAGTACCCTGGATCGAACATTTAAACAAAAAGGACACTTATATTTAACATCAGGTAAAGTTATTTGAAATTTCTGGGGTACGTAATGAAGAAGGAAAGTCAGTAAGTGTTTATATTCAGTGGACAGATTGAAAGCAAAAGTGGGAGAGGAAAACAACCTATAACCTACCTGTAGAGTTTCAGCAAATGGAGGGCGGAACAAGTTTTAGGACAGATAACGAAAAGACAAAATTTGTAAAGAGCTACAAAGGAGTGGATATTGTGGAGAGCCATGATAGCCAACGTCCTGAAGAGACACAGCACGTAGTAGAAGGCGTGAACAGAGATGATTCACACAAATTCCCTTATTTAGGCAAAGGGATGCGTCATATTCTTCTGAAAACCCTTGTAATCCAATACTCAATATACACAAGAGGAGATCAAATCGTTAACGAAATCTCATCCGGCTTATCATAGGAATTCCGTTCGCAGGAATCAATGAAACGTTTTATGTTCGGAATCAACAACTACAGCGAAAACAACAACAACGACAAAAAATATACCCATTTTACAGCTGACCTTTCACAATGATAATCATATTGATTCCGATCTTCACAAATAAAATATTGTTCATTGTGTACAATGTTTATAATATTACGTCAACGAAAAGCGAGAACACTTTCGGAAACATGACAGTCAAAAGCAGTAGAAGCAGTGAGAGTAGCAGCCTAATCAGCAATAAAGTTTAGATTGAATGATTCATGTATACTCCACTGATCTAGTGGGTAAAAGCGATGGTTTGTAGCAGCCAGAATGATACGCTTGCTTCTGCAGTCTACAAAAGAATTGATTCCTATAGCCTATTCATTTTTTGTTGACGAATGTTTCATAC